TTTTCACGCATCTGCATCTTCTTTCTTCTTACTCTTTCTCTTCTACTCTTCTTTCTTCTAATCTTTCTCTTCTCTATGCCTCTTCCCTGCTCTGCTTTTCATCTGTCCATATTGTCGGAAGTTTGACTTCTAAACTTCCTTCGACAACTGCAACTGCAACTACACTACACTGATTACACTCCACTACAACTACAACTCCACTACGCGACAACTACAACTACTGCTGCACAACACACCACATCCAGCAGTTGTGGGTGAGGTGACCACTGCAACCATTGCAAGCACTCCAGAAAGCACACTCCAACCTTCTTTCCGTCCATCAGTGGATTCGCTCTGCCATCCATGCATCACAACAACTCACCTCTCCTATAGTGTCCTATCTTTGAAACTTCCGCCACCGCCTTGTGCGGTACTATATACTGGTAACAAATCAAGAAGGCCAAAAGATGTGTGGACTTTGTGGACTGCATTATAGATGGTTCCAACTTTCACGAGTTTTCGAAGCTAGATATTGCTCAATGTGCCACATGGGTGTCAGTGCAGCTTCGCTTGGCACCACGGTACCACCAGTCTCAAGGATTCATCTAAGAGACCTGCATCTGTTATGCTCGCTGACCCTTTTTGACACAAGCGCGGGCCTGGTCACTTCTTGGGCGATTGAATCGATATGCAACAGCACGGCCAGAGCTCCTGACTGTCAGGGTCGGACATGGCAAATTACATCAAATTACCGAGATCCGCTTACTCTGCAGTTGGAAGGTGGGACAAAGGTGGACCAGCATCATGGAACGTATGTAACATCGTTTGGGGCACTGGTGGTTCTAGATTCAGATGATCATGTTTCTCCTTTTGAATTATTGACTTGTCGTTCAATGGATTCCAACAGAAACCTTTGAGGTTTTGCACGCAGTTGTCCAGTTGCAAGAGTCTGCTGTCCAGTGAGCAACAAGCTGAACAAGTTGCAGGCCTGCACTGCCTCCAGACACCTTGCAAACTTGTCAGCGCAATGTCATTGCAATCCCTACAAGTAGCATGGAAGTTTCAGAATGAGAGCTCCAATATTGGATTCGGATTTCTTCTGTTCCGGGTCACTAGATAGAGTATTCTCTCTACGAAAAGTTGGAAATCTCTAGGTGACAGCGAACAGAAAACAGCTGGTTAGTCCAGACACCACCAGCTGTTTGGTCACATCCAAACGAAGAGATTGGAAAACCGCATCGAGGATCCTCAGCGATCTGGTGAAGCCGTGCTCACTGTCCCTGATGAATTGGTCATTCGCCAAACAACAGTTGAGTCGTGCCTGGTTGCACATGCGATGGTCTAATTTGCAGGCACTCAATAACAGATGGATTGCCATATGATTGAGAACCCAAATCAATCTTTTCTCCAGGAGACTATCAAAGATTCAGGCAATCAGTCCTGAAACATGACCGAAAAACCAATCTTGCAACTAGCAAGTCAGCAATAGTCAGTTCAACATACTTGTTTGGCAAGTGGCTTTCGGCCCTTGAAGTGCAAATCCCGGCCCTTAAAGCCTCAAGTTGACTCGGTAGACCCAAGGTCTGCCTACCTTCCTATCCTTGGCGTATGAAACTGTTGGCATGCTTGGAATATCTTGGAATCAGGACCAGCCAAACGGCGAAGGCATTTCAGGCGCTCTCAGCATGCCGAGCAACTGACCACAGCATCGCCGGAGAAGCTGGTTCCATCGCAATATGGCACATAGACCAGAGTCCAGTTGTGAAATACCGGATTCGCCTGCCAGGACTGCAAAACATGGATCGCCCCGGACAAACAAACTGCCCTGCATACCAAGGTAAAGGGCCAAGCTGATGCAGCTGATGATGCTGCTGCCAAGATGTGAGTTGTTGATGCAAACGCGGGGATTCACAACCCGGGGGGATTCTATCTGTCGCGCAGATTCACATGCGCCTTTTACTTGATGCGACTCAAGGGCCCTGCGGTGCAAGGCACGAGTGATGTGAAAAGCTCACTGGATTTGCACTGGTCTATATTTTTTATAGCCAAGCATGTCCAGTCATGCGCGGCTCACAGAGCAGCTGCTGCATCACCACATCACCACCGCGACTTGTCATCATAGAAGAGGATTCCTCGGCCATCATCGTCAAGAAATTGAGGTCAAGGATGTCGCGAAGTTCGTGATATGGTTTCGGCTTTGTGAGATGATCGGCACGCTGAACTTGAGTTGGGACCCACTTATACACCTCTTTCATCTGTTCTCCGCTGGGTTCCAGTTCTTCTGCTGCCTCTCGCAAAGCTCCTATGTCAAGCGTCAATCGCTTCTCTTGTGTGCTGCTCAGTGGACCGTCTTTCACTACCAAATCGTAGAGTGATCTACAATCCGTAGCCATTGAGGTAGGAAAAATGGCTGGGTCTAAACGCCCAGACTGAGTCGGCTGGTAGCTCTCGATGACGATCTCGGCCAAAAGCTCTCCTGTGAAGAGGGCGGCATCAGTCGCTGCATCAAGAGCCATTGTTTCTGCCGCCAAAGTGCTGCGGCATCTTCTTCTGATCCTGTGTGATCTCCATTCCACCAGATTGGCTCGGTCTCCGGCCGTGGTGAAAACTTCAGGGCCGGTGATGAAGACCAAATAGCCAGCCTGCGACTTGAGGTCCTCGGCATTCGCCCAAGATGCGTCCGAGAACGCCACAATGCGGGCCCGTTGCAAGTCGATAGGGACGAACCTCAGCTTCCAGTCTTGCGACTTCATAGCCTCCTTCAGCAGCTTGTTGATCTCGAGGAGGTTAGTCACACTGGGGCTGCCACTCATGTTGAGGGAAGTGCCCGCTGCAAGGTCGGGACGAGTCTGTCCTATCAGCCAATGCAAACAGCCTCCTCCGCTCTTGAGCTCGGTGATCTCAGCGGCTGTCAGGCTTGCATCCTTCATCAGCGTCCTCCACTTCGGCACTGGAGTCAATGTCAAAGCCCTGATGAAGGCTTCCTGGCTCAGGGTGACGGTGCCGTCCTCAAGCACAGAGATTTCTTTTCCACCATAGACCAGCTTGGACTCCTGTCGAGAGTCATGCCAATCACCAAAATCGAAGGTGTCGCGCACCTTTTGTAGTACGCGATCAGCTCTCTTCGGGCAGCCAGCGCAGACCAAATCATCTACGTGTGCTCCCAGCACCAGGATGGGCTTGTGGTCCTCATAGTAGATGAAGAGCGCCTTGTCAAGCGTTGATTGCACGAAACCCAACTTGTTCAAGGAGTCCCTGAGGAAGCGCCAGAACAGCCTCGGACTGTTTGCCAGACCAAAGATTCCTCGTACCACGAGTAGAAGTTGACCAGGTAGTAGACCAGGTAGACCTTCACGTGGCTGTCGAATGAAGAGGGGCTCCTTGCGCTTAGCCAGGGACTGATCTCCTTGTAGAAAAGCTCCAGTGATGTCTGCACAAACGATGAACCATCCAACGCCCGATGCCGCCAATTGCAGGATCAGCATCAGACCCAATCGGGTCAGTGTTGGCGCGTCGCGCCTCAGTTCCAGCAGATCTGGGTCAGCATCTCCACGGCAGACAATCCTGGCCTTCGGCTTAATCTCAAGCCAAGGCGTAGCTGCATGTTTGTCTCTGTAGCAGACTCGTGCAGCAAGGATCCGAGCTGGGTCGATGTTCTCCTCGACGTGTCGGCTACATGCCGGATCCAAAACTTCAACTGCTTGATATTTCTGCCAAGTGGTCCACTCTTTGACCAGAGCTTGTCGGTACAGGTCTCTTTGTTCTTCTGGGATCGCAGACCATGGCAGCTCTTTCTCAAGGGCTTTCTTGTCCTTTCGGGACATCGTCTGCGGATTCTGCCATTCTGTTTGTGCTTGGTGTACTTCTCGAGGTCCAAGTAGTTTGAAAACCGTAGCTCCCGTCCACGGTGCAGTCATTGGGGTGTTGGAGTTCGGTGAAGCCCAAGTGTCGCGTCTCACCTTCTCCTGCTTGGACTTCTCTCGCATCACCGTCATTCTCCTCGATGACAGTTGGTCTAGTCGAACTGGAAGATCTTGTGCACGTACAGGATCGTATAGAGCTCGGCGTGGACGTAGGTGATGACGAACAAGTAGACCACGCTCCTTGTCGAAGTGCCAGTAGTCCTTCGCGACATTCGAGACCGCCTCCACGACGCTGGTGTCATTGAAATCTAAGCCTGCTTGCTCAGGTGGTTCTTCTGGTATAGGCACCTCCACTCCAGATGCCATGCTTGTCGCCGGTTCTGAAGTAGTCTTCTGTCGCTTCGGTGGTGTCATCCGGGGCCTCTTGAACTCAGGCTGTAGTAGGCTTCCAACAGGCGTTCCAGGCGCCCGTGTGGTAGTAGCCGGTAGCGTTGTCAGATCTGTGCCTTCGCCAGATCCACTCGCTGATTCAGCTTGTTGTAGAGGTTCTGGATGTTCACCTTCATCTGGCTCAGGGTCAGAATCGAAAAGTGGGATGCGGTCGACTTCGTCGTCTTCTGGTGGTGGCTGCTCGCCGGTACGGATGTCATAGTAGTCGTCCGGCGGGTTTTCCTGCAATTCTTTGAGAACATGTTCATGAACTGGCCAAAGTTCGGTTCCGAACGCAGGACGCATTTGCTCCTTGGACACCAGAATGCATCGACCGTTCGAAGTGACCCAGTAGTTGTTTTGCTTGGTACTACCATCTCCTTTGTGTGGTCCAATGACTGTCCCACGGCACCAAGCAGCTGGGATGCGGCGGCCTTTCTGGCCTTTCTTCCCTTGGCGATACTTTGCAGCACGCCAGAATGCAATGATCTCGCCTGGTTGGTACTCCTCCTTCATAGGATGTGACTTCCGGAGGATGGCAGTACGGACCGCCTCATTCAAACGATAGGCAGCCAGTTTCTCGTCCGCCGCAGCCCTGATTTGGCTACGTCGCCTCAGCTCATCATCTAATTCCATGGCTTGCAATGCTTCAAACTTCCCATCAGGTGACAAAATGTCATCTGGGGTCTGAGGGTTCTTACAGAAGACCCACTGATATGCTGAGCAGCCAGACGACCTCACCCGATCGTTCATAGAGGCTGACACTGCACATGCCACCATCTTCATGTCTTGGTCGCCGACGAGGGACATCTCATCGATCAGCTTGGTGGCATTCTCCCGGAAAGCACGGTTGTAGGCCTCAACCTCTCCTGCTTGCCAATGTGCTTCTGCCGGTGGATTGTCTACCAAGGTACCCATAGACCTGATCTTTTCCAGGAATGTTCCCTCAAATGCGCCATCTTTGTCAACCCATAGATGCTTAGGAAATCCAGCCCATGAAGCCCAAAGTAGGGTCAGTAGGTCAAATACGTCTCCTGGCTCTCGAGTTGGGCATGGATAGAAGATGTTGAATGAGCCGTTGGGCTCCAAGATGTGCAAAAATTGGTACATCTTACCCTCAGCATCAGGCACATTGACAAAGTCCATGCATAGCTTGCTGTTGAAGGCGCCAATGACCTTGAACGATGTGGGTCTTGGGATCTTTGGCCTTCTTGAACGTTCGCAGGTCGCACATTTGAGGCGCCTGCTGAGTTCAATCGCCTCTGGCTCCACGCTGCCATCTTGTACTAATGCTCTTGTGAGATCTGGCTGAGTTGGATGGCCCAAGTTCTTGTGGAGCTTGACGATGGTAGGGGCCAATTTCTTCTGCCTGTTTGTAAGTGGTGGTCCCACAAACCAAGTCTCGCCATATGACTGTTGCACCAAAGTCTTGTCCTCAGGCATCTGGGCAAGTTCCGGTGTGTCTTCAAGCGGCACAAATTGCCGTGCAGCTTCGGGTCGTTCTCGGGGTTCTCCAGGGTCACCTGGTGCGTAGCCCAGAGCGAATATGGCAGCTCTCACGGGTGTCACAAATCTCTCCCGTGGGGCTTGTGCCGTCTTGAGGTACTCAGTCTCAATGGTGATCGTGTTGTCGTTCAGCAGGAGGATGGAGGCACGATGACAATCTTCAAGACCAGGCCGCACTCTCTTCGCCTTTGGCAAGTGGGCAATCTGTATGTTCATGATCTGCCAGGGTATCAAAGAACAGATCTTGCCGTAGAGCTCAGACTCCTGTGCCACGAAGATGCTAGCCTGCACCTTCCTTGCCAAAGTCTCCTCAGCCTCAAGAAGTAGAGGGCGCCTTTTGTCCTCATCCTTGGTGATGTCGACGAACCAGGCCGTCTTGATGTCGGTCTTGTCGTTGTCATAGGTGATGGTGCCGTAGTCCTCAAGCTCGACCACTCGCCAAAAAGCTCGGCATATCGCGTCTGCCAAGTCAGGCGGGTAGCAGGCTGAAGCTGCAGTGTTCTGCCCTTCAACTTTCTCATGTTCATGTGCGTGGTCACATTGACGGTCCAACTCCTCCACGAAGTAGGGGTGTGTGGCCACGAACCTGACTCGTTTCTGCATGGGCTTGCCTTGTTTGCCTGTGAGGCCAAACATACACAAACAGGCTGTTGTCTCATAGTATCTCTGTCGGATTCTAAGTATCTCAGGTTGGGATTGAGAGGCTGCTATCGCAGGGTTCTCAGACACTGCATGTCCATGCCTCTTGGTCTGGCTCTCGAAGACCTTCTCGGTGAGTTGTAAAAAGGGCCTGTCAGCTTCACGTAGCTGTTCAAGCTCCTCAGGCCTATCCTTGTAGTTCACATTGGACTGCAGGATGCTCCAGACCGTGCATGGGTACTCGACCAAAGCCAAACGTGGGTTGGCCTTGTCCAGCATGTTGAGCAACCACCGTCTTGATCTCCGTTGTCTCAAGTCAATTCCAAACCTGATATCGACTGGTTGTAGAACTTTGAGCCGCCAGAGTGTGGCTCCTCTGACTGACACCATCGACGTCCCACCGAAGATCTCGATGAGGTCAAACCGGAAATGCTTCCGGGGCCACCGTCCTTGTTGCACTCTTTGTTGTACAAGACGTCGATGTAGTTTCGAATTTGCAAGTGCCTCTCGGGCCAAATTTTGCATCCTCTTCTGACCAGGCTTCAGCTTCTGTCGACCAGAAGGTTGATCGTCATCCTCCACAACGTTGCCATTCATGCGGTCGGCTCCTTCAGCTCCTCTTCGTCTGAAATCACCACCATCTCCTCCTCGTCCCAGCTGCTCTCCAGTTGGGGCGCGGGCTCGATTTTCACCTTGGCCTTGGCCTTGGATGTTCTCGAGGTGGTAGATGTCGTTGTCACCTTGGTGCCATAAGCCGCCTCCATAGACGTTGGTGGTGAGGAAGATGAGTAGGCACAGGATCTTGTAGAAGAAGTTCGTGTTGTAGCTCCTTTCTTCACCTGACCTCCGGGTCTGTCCCGCAGTCCGTGGTAGATCTTGTAGGTCGTGACCATGTGCCCCGTGATCGGGACTTGATAGTCCAGGCCTTTCCACACGCTTCCACAGCTGATGCACTCCAGGAAAAATTCCAAACTTGTTGCCATATGAACGACCATGCTCCACCAGATGGGGGCACTTGTTCGGCTCCGTCTGGTACTGGAGGTGTAGTGCATGGGGCGTCTGGCCCTTTGCCAAAGTCGACGCCGGTGGAAGCGCAAATGCCAGATCCTCTGCCAGCTGAACCTCTCGCTGCATCATCGCCTCCATAAAGCCCATGAGTGCAGGAGCTCGGTACTTGAACTCCCGAATCACCTTGTTGGCCGTGATGTAGCGCTCCATCGCCCACCAAAGCTTCATCATCTGGCGCACGAGCAGAGCCCAACGCCATGCTTTTCGGTCGCGCCGGGGAGCAGCGTTCATGATCTCTCCCTTGAAGGCTTGGACCGAAGACTGTGTCGCCGGCAAACTCGAGTTTTGACGGCCGAAACACTTGATCATGTCTGTTGAGTGGCAATTCAGGGGGCTTGACATTTGGATCCATTGAACGTGCAAGCCTCTTACTGCCATGTTGCTTCAGTGACTTTGGATGCACGTGTAGCCAACCCTTCATGGTCTTGATGTCAACCCCGGGATCTGGTCGTGGGCATGGAAGGACATCCAAACGTGTTGAAGGATTGCAATCATGTCCAACAAAAACTGTAAAACCAGTCCATGGGTCTTCTTCGACATGTTCATCCCATACATCGAAAAAAGGTTCACCAAAACCATCTTTGAAGGTGATTCTCAAAGGTTGGAGTTCTCGGGGTTCAGGGCCATCTACGACTTCCTGAGGATGAAATCTTGTTGTTCGGGGTCTAAAATGCCGCCGTAGATATAGTAGAGGGGTGTCCATGTTGTACTCCCAGATGTCGCCATTGATGCTACAGGGAATCAATTCACCACAATCTTCATGGCAAAATATGTCATCCTCAGGGTTGTAGATGTGTGTTGGTGTGAAATCAGCCGCAGCATGAGTCTCAGCCGTGTAGGCCTTTTCCGTGAACCAGAGGACTCCGGAGTAGTCGTCGCGTGTTGCGACCTTGCCCTGTGGCCAACCTGAAACTGGAAAATCGTCCACCGCCACCACTAAGTGGCCTGTGTGGTCAACGAAAAGTGGCGCCTCGGCACCGATGGTCTTGAGGACTATTTTCTGCTCTGCGATGTCCACCACAGCCGCCATGAAGCGCAACCAATCCTGGCCTGCAAGCCAGGGGATCTTGTTCTGCTCGTGGTGGTAGTCCTCAAGGGCCGACGTCTTGATGATCATCGCCTTTCCACCGATCCCGATGGGAATGTGCCAGCGTTGTGTGCTGATGCGAGGCTCTCCAGGCCCGAATCGGTATGACTCTTGCTCCTGATGGACAATGGGCTTGACCTTGTGCTTCTTCTCCAAGATGTCCGCCACGATGGAGAGCTGCGTAGTTCCTCCAACGGTGTTCTCACAGGCAGTATCTATTGTCAGATACGCCACACCAGGCTTGACCGTAGGGGCCAAGCGGGTGTTGCTCAGGACGTCCCGTGGTACTGCACAAAGTCGATCTTGTCCAGGATGTGGTACTTGGTCAGAACGTTGAAGATGTCCAGAACGAAGATGGTCTCCTTGATGTTGAAGTTCTCGAGATAGAGGATCGTCATGATGTAGGACGTTGATCTTGGTCACCATGTAGGCGATGCGCATCTCATCCAAGTCCAAGACAGCTCCTTGACTCTGGTCGTTGAGGCAATCCCACACCGTGTTGGACTTCGTGTCGGGGTGTGGCAAGCCAAGCTCCTTGAAGGCGTCCTTGACCGCTTCTGGTGCTGATGCCACGTGGTTTACCGCCTTCTCCTTGAGCTTCCGCTGCTCCACCTTGTGCTGGATGAGGGCCGTCGCCGTGAAGACGTCGAGGGGCTTGCGCGTCACCGAATGCGACGCCTGTTCTGGGAACTCCGACGAAGATGAGGCAGTCTCCTTGTTGAACTTCCTCTTGATGGCATTGACTCCGTGGATCACCTCTTCGGCCTCCTCACGTGTGAGGTGAGGATAAACCTCGCTCTTCTGTTCTCGCATGGCCTGTGCCACATAGTAACCAGGCTGACTGGGGACCTTGGTCTGCGTGGTCACCCAAGCCTCACTGGTCTCATTTCCATCATCTTGCCAGGCCTCCCAATACTCGTTGTACTGGTTGTAGTCATAGTCATTGTAGCCATCATCGTCTCCATAGTGCTCCGCAGAAGCGTCCACGTTCCCAGCCTCATGAGCCTTCTTGGGACCCTTGCATTGTGGGTCACCTTTCCAATGTCCGATCTCGAAGCAGTCACCACATGTAGTGATCTTCTTCAACTCCTCCAAGCTCATCCCGCGGGCTCGTCCACCTTTGCCTTTCGACTTGGGTGGTGACTTGCCAGCGGTCTTGCCACCATCTTTGTTCTTGCCTTTTCCAGAGGCTTTCTTGCCTTTGCCCTTGTTGACATAGAACCCTCTGGCCTTCACTGCTTTGGCCAAACGGGCCCTATTCTCCCTGTGAGTAGCGTAGACCTCGTGAAGTTCCCGGGCCAAGTTCTCAGGGAGATAGTCCGGGACATCAGACTCCGCAATCTTCTCGATGGGGTCCTCGTAGAACAACCAGTCCTCCAATTCCATCTCGGAGTTGTTCTGCTCGGGCTCATTCCATCCCTGCTGTGTCTCGTGTGCCGCTCTACCTCCTTTGCCGCCATAACCTTTGTCTCGGTCACGTCGTACTGCCACTGTGGTCAGGGGGTACAGCAACTCCACAGCACTGCGGACTTTCTTCCAGGTGTAGTCTCCACCTGTCCTCAGCAGGATGTTCGCCTGCCGTTCCAAACTGCTGCCGCTGTGCTCGAAGAAGAAGTGCGTCATGATCTCATCTGGCAAAGTCAAACCAGCTTCTTTGCAGAGGCGTCCAGCTTTCTCCATGTGGTCCATGGTCTCTGTGAGGGTCCAGTTGCGGTCTATCTGCATCTTGAAGAAGGCCTTCATCGCTGAGCCTACCTTGTGCATCTTCTTCTCGTCGTACTTCTCGCGAAGAACCCTGATGAGGACTTTCCACCCCTCAGGCACTCCGAAAGTACGAGCTGGGATGCCCTCCAGGTACTCAGCTGCGTCTCCTTCCAACGCTGCATGCAACCTCAATCCTATCTCCTCATCACCGATGATGTGCTTTGCAATCTCGATGAAGCTGTCGACCTTCTGAAGCCAGTGCTTGAAGACCTTGGGGTCCTTCTTGATGTTGCCATCGAAAGATGGAGGGGGTGGCAAGTTGCCACGAGGTCGAATCCGGCCATCAGATCCGGACGCGCCCTTGTCACTCTTAGAACCCAGGGACTGTGGTGATGCAGCTGCAGAGCGTCCACCGCCTGAAGCTCCACCAACCGAAGGCACCGGAGACGCCGGCGAGGGTGATGCCAAAGGACTCCTCTCGCCGTGACGTGGTCCACTGCGGCCGATCCGGCTCCTAGTTCCGGCTTGCTGCCGGGTCGTCACCTGAATCTCGTCATCAGAGTGCTCCTCCATGTAGACGTCATCGTCCACCTCTTCTTCTTCATCTCCTTCAGCTGCTTGGGAACCATCTTGAAGACCTTGTCCTGAAGGATCGCCTGCAGGTAGATCTCCACTTCCACCAGCAGCTGCCGAATGCTCACCAGCGCCCGCTGCGACGGCAGCCCGCAGCACGTCAGCGCCCGACGGCATGAGGTAGGGGCGATCCACGAGGATCGGATACGCTCCGCCTACCAATGCAAACGCGGGGATTCACAACCCGGGGGGATTCTATCTGTCGCGCAGATTCACATGCGCCTTTTACTTGATGCGACTCAAGGGCCCTGCGGTGCAAGGCACGAGTGATGTGAAAAGCTCACTGGATTTGCAGTTGAATCCTCTGCTCGAGCCTTCGGGTCAGCACTCAGCATTCCAGTCAATTTGCGTTCCTGGGCTGACACAGGCTGACACCCCCTATCCATAGCTTGAACATGTTGTACAACTCCAGAACTATGAAGGTATCAAGACTGTGTGTTCATGAAAGAATAATCACGAGTTCAAACCCTACAAAATATCACACAGCAACTCAAGCAGCAACAGCACGCAACATGGTCCACCCTGTTGGGGACAAAGGCACTGGTAGTATCTTTTCCCAGGATTTGCCTCAATCAATGGTTGCTCATCAAGAGAGATTCCAAAGCCTGGTAAGCCGATTGGACTTCCCGGGACAAGCCAAACGAAAAGACAAAATAGACCACTGTATAACTGTATGGTCAAGGTTGTAGAAGCTTCTATTGTCCTTTCCCGACCATGAACTTGTCCAGCCGCCCGTCCTTTGAGAGCAAGCCACTTGACCCCAAGTTTTTGTAAGAACGCTTTTGGCAATCAGTCAGCGTCCCTTCATCAGTTGGGCTGCAGCTTTGGTCGTAACCTGGGCCCCGAGTCGACGAGCAGTCTCGGAGAATGGAAAGAAAAACCTGAAGACTTGAGAGATTCAAACCCTTCTGTTTGCTGACCAGATAACACCAGCCACCACCCTCCAAGAACACCAACATCTGCTCAGAAATGCCTAGCGAACACGCATCATAACAACGCCAGTTTCAGCAAAGGCGAGGACGTTGCATGTAAGTTGCTTAGGGCATGAACCGCTGGGCTCAGGTTTTTAAAACGGTCTTCCCTGGCCTTTCCGGACATAGTATCCTGCCATGGTTCCATCCAAACACCGGGCTTCCGGATACTGCCTGGTAGGCCATGAAGTGCTCAATGAAGTATTCTGCGATGCTGGACAAAAATGACAAAAAAATATGGCTGTGGTTCTAATGTCGTCATTTCATATCTAGCTGCTAGCTTTTCCCACCAACACTAACACGGAAAAATTTGCGCGTTGAGTACCACTGTCTTGAGCTGGCAACAAACTAGCCCAGTGGATTCGACCCACATCTGTCCCCTGCATTCAGCTTGGTCACACACCAATGCTCTTGAGTCTCGTGGTAACCAAGTGTGGTTGTCTGTGTGATCTGGCCTTCAGTATGTGTATATTTATATATATATATATATTCAAAATTATTCAAGAAAGATCCTATGTGCCTTGAGGATGAACCATCCATCTTTTCCAATTACAATACATCCAAATAGTAGCGAATCATAGAGTTTTGCAATGCCCAGCTCTCCAGTATGAGTCAAGCTGCTCTTCAGACAGAATCACCAGAGAGGTTTCAGTGCCGTGGCCACAGTGACAGCCTTTGCACGTGCAGCCCCAGTCCTGCAGGTGCAGTCTGTTTCATCGATGTGCAGGGTTTGGCCACTTTTTGGAGATTCCCATACCAAAAGCCGGACCAAAAGCGTCTCAGCTCCAGACAGCATCCTACATCCAGTAGATTCCTACGGACTAGACTCCATTCGCTCCATTAGACTCCCCTACCTTCGGTGAAGCAAAACTCTTAGAACAACATCTCGTATACACCGGGACGTGTCCCGGGAACAGTTCATTCCCTTTGCTGAGATCAACTGGTAAAACACTTCAAATTATCTGCTACAACTGGGCTACAACCACTACAACGCACACTTCTGGGCTTTGATGGCGCTCCTTCAACATGGATTCACAGCTGTTCTTCGCAGGGTCCCAGCTTATCCACTCGTCGCAGGACCATTCTGAGGGCAGTCTGGAGGTTTCCAGAATCGACAAGCACTCTGACTACGCTATGAGGGCACAGCACAATCTGGTGCAAAATGTCTCCACCTCTCTTGGAATATCGACAAGGGACTGCCACATTTCTCACATGTTTTTCTCCCACATTGCTCTTCATAGTCAAGACAGCAATTGCCATACTCCTGCAGCAGCAAGTGAAGCAATGCACTGCTATGTGATATATTCGAGCAGAAGGTGATGACGTTCGGGATTCAAACAAGTAAGAATGTATAATGTTTGTAATATACAGAGAAAGAGAGAGGGAGAGGCCGCGCAACATGCGTCATGTCATCATGTATGTACAAGTGCTGAGAAGAATGCGCATAGCACTTAGTCTGCCGATTCATCAGCCAAGCATCGACTTAAACCATTTCGATGTGTGTATGTGTGCGTGTGCGGATGTGCTCAGCAAAGCTACAACGTTCCAAACTTATGACTGGCTTATGACCTCATCCATCAGTATCCAACAGAGGGTTCGGTAGACAGGAAATTGTTCGCAGCTCCCGCTCAATCTCCACCCGCCTCGCAAGCATCATTGCACCAACAATCCTCGTCCCATTCTCCACACCTAAAAGGCAGGCGCTATCAAACAATTGGGACATCGATTGTTCATCCTATATTTCTCCTGATGAATCTATACTGTATTTTGTTGACTCACAAAGTAGAGCTTTCAGAATATGTTTGAATATATAACCACCGGTGACTTTGGAGAGTTGCTAAATTCTGGTCTGATGCGAAGCATAACTTGAATTCGAACAACGAGTATCTGGAAAAATCTTGACAGCAATCTGGATGGGCACACTGCATTTCTCTATCAGAAAAAAATACCAAGTGTCCCAAGTGGGCTCCGGCCGCGGTCCAACTTAAGGCCAAGGACGGCCAAGTTTGACCCCAGTCGGCTTTGGGCCAAGTACGCCTCCTTTCCTCTCTATCCACTTCTCTGGGTGCGGTTCTCGTCGCGAAGCGATTCGAATGTGGTTTGCACAGCACAAGGTGGAGACTTCAACCCCAAATATCAGTGACATGAATATGACATGAATAATTTCTGAATAATAATCCCTACATTACCGTGTGCCATACCTTTGCCCACCACCTGCATTCGTTGTTTCAATACATTCTGTAGTGTCTCCTCACATTCGAGGCCTGAAACTTTAGACAAGAGATGACAAGATTATATTGAATTCTGAAATTGCAAAATTGGTGGAAACATGTTTGAACAAAATTGAACGGAATTGCAGCAGGCTCCGATACATAAGGTTCCTTGCAAAGCATTCGGGACAGGCACTAGCCGTGATGATAGCATATCATTTCATTCTTTTCAAATATCAAAGTCAGTTGTTTTGAAAACCTGGAACTGAGAGTAATTCAGAGACAGCCCGGAACTGGATGTTGGATGATGGGTGCGGATGGATTTCAAAGCACTAGCCAAGATGCTTTCCGACGCAGGATCCCGGTTTGGCTGCACCATGATAAACCTGAGGCAATGGATTGGTTGTAAGACTTGATGATCTTAATCATCTTAATCTGATCTTGCAAGACATGGAATCGCTGGATAAACAAGTGCGATCAACCATCTGAGTCATCTGAGCGCTTATTCCAAGCGTTGAGGAGAAAGAGGAACCCTGGACATGGAAGAGGCTAGCAGCCCTGAGGGGAAGCAACACTGAATTGTCACACGTCTAAAAGGATTCCAAAGAACCAACAGTGTTCCCAAAAGTAGTCTCTGCACAGTAAACAACACGATCCAGAACAAACTTCAGCCAGGAAACTCCGGCGATGACACTCCACAGGAAACACCTTTCTGCAACAGAACAGAATGTGTCTATCATGTCAGCATTGCCAGATTTCACTGTTCTACCCAAGGAAAAGCAGCTCCCTTAAATGCTTAATTTCCATCATGTCCTTAAGAGATACATCTTGCAAATAGTATCATGAGTAGAGTACGCTGGCTGCTGTTTGATCCCCAGTTCTGTCTTGTTTCTCAGGTTTCTTCCCGCTACACTCACCTCATGGCCGCGTGTGGACAGATCAATCAAATCCCCAAGTCATCTCTAACAGGATCAATGATGCATTGCTCTATTCAGCATTGCTGCTGAGCACAGTTTAGCAGGGTTCTCAAGAACACACAAGTTGCCATGTATTGCTTCAGCAGTTGTTTCTGGATGAATAGTGCCACAATAATTATACATTGGCAAATCATCTGCAAATCCTTTTACTGGTGTTGTTCAATAAAAAGCTGAATGGAGCCTGTCCCATTGAAGACACCTTCTTTCGCTGGAGCAAAAATTCGCAGAGCGAAAGCAAGCCCATGTCCGTCATGTCAGAAAAGGAAAAGCTCAAACAGAGAGGAATTTTCAACGGAGCAGGGAGCAGCCAGCTGTGTCAAAGGAGCATCCAGGATGGGGCCTTTATGTACGGCATGGCATGTTTTGGAAATGGAACAATGTATTGCCTAATATGTGTCTTTCCCGTCACTCCTTCTATCCCTCTAAATTATTCAGGGAAAGGGCCTCACTTGAAACATATTTTGATATATGCTATCTATGTATGTATCTATCTATGTATCTATGTATCTATGTATGTATGTATGTATGTATGTATGTATGTAAGTATGTATGTATGTACGTATGTACGTATGTATGTACGTACGTACGTACGTATGTATGTATGTATGTGCATGCCCGCATGCATGCATGTATAATATGTAGATATATATATATACATATACGTGTGTGTGTGTGACATGTATGTGTATCTATGATATTGTCATCTATAACTGTGACTTTATGAGCAGTCTAGAGGATGTTCTGCGGTTCACAGAGCCTTGGGGCCGGAACTTTTCTGACGCTTGGGCCCCCACCTCCCCAGGTTTGCTTCGGACCAGCAGTTTTCGATCATCCAAGTGCTGCACCACCAACCTGGCACAGCTCAGAGTTCAGTCAGTTGTCAGGGGCAGCCAAATGTAGCAAGGTTCATATATATATATATATTATATATATATATATATGTGTGTGTGATATAAATATGTATTTATATATTAATATATAATGATATGATATAATGTATAAATATTATATTATAGTATATTATGATCATAATCATTTCGTGACAGTTTCTTTGCTCTGTTCGATTGCTGCGTCAGTGATGGGCCTGAAGCCAGTGAGTGCTTCCGAAAGAGAGAGCTCCACTGAGTAGTAGAGGTCTGCCTTCCACGGAAGGCACGGAGCAGCAAAGCGTCAAATGTTGGCCTCAGCAAAGCCTCACGGCCGCTGGTGCATTGCGCTATATCTCCGCCTCCTTCCGCATGAACTTCGGATGATCCTGCGGCACTGCGGCACTGCGGCACTGAACCGAACGCCAAAAGAAACACTTTTGAAATTCCGGATCCCTTTGCATCCAAAAGTGTCACATGGTGACCATGTTTGTCTCTTGACCAGTCATCGCGAGCTAAACTGAATTGAACTTGCCATCTGCCATGCCTGCTCTCGGACGACTACCACCACATCGCCAGCTTCACATCCATCCGCTTCATCAGCCTCTCACGCCATTGATGCGTGTCCCGGAGTCGTTGAGCGGTCTACTTGTGAACTCCAGTTCAGCCAACGCAGTCCTATGTCCACGATGTCCACTCATGTTCACTTTCAGTTTTTCATAGTTTTTCTATTCTAAAAAGGTCCTCAGATCTCCTCGACGCCACGAGCTGAGCACAAATCCCGCCTTGCCATGGATGGTGATCTTGTGGCCATTTGGTGAGCCTTTCTCGACAAAGACTTCAAGCACCTGACACACGTTGCTTTTCTGAATCCTTAGGCTGACCAAGGTGCAGCTCAGGTCGTGTATCAAGACCTCACAAGTCAGCGTCATGAGATAGTGGTCTCCAAATGTTTTACCTTGATTGCCAACCGAGGTGGAAAATTCAAGTTGAAATCGGTCCCAAGCATTCTTCCACTCCACCTCGCGGACGTTTTGCATTTTGTGACAGCTGCCTTTGCCACTGCACTTCTCACAGGTCTGTTGCACCTTGGACGGCTGAAGGAGTTTGCATCCGGCTCATCACGAGAGTAGTTTCAATATGTTTCAATATCTTCCATCCTGTGCCACTGGGCTGCGGACCTGTCGGACCATAGGGCCCATGCGAAGAACCTTGAGAGAATCTGGTCCATCACCACAGACTGACCAGACTAATATGAATGGCTTGGGTGATCGACTTGATATTTATGAATGGAATGCATTGTGATGCACTGATGTATAGTGTATTCGCTGGTGAGAAGCAGGACAAGACTAATATGTTTGATACTTCGACAACACGAAACAAAGAATTGGTGCGAAGCTGGCGAAGCTATCCAGCCTGGATCGCTACGCCCTTGCCATCGCAAGCATCGCACTTGCAACTTTCTCCGGAAGGATCCAACACCTCCGAGGCTAGGCCAGGTATGCTATGTGCATTGAAGCCATGTTCAACGTGGTCAAAGCAAGAAAGAGAGCATCAGCATATCAAGGAGAACTCAGCGAGTTTGGAGTTTTGGAAGCAGTTGAAGGCACATGTTAGCTACGAGTGGTAGACTAAAAACAGCGATACATAGCGATACCACTGTGGCCCATGGCCTTGCGCGTAATTGGCAGCCTGCGATTCACGCCCGTGTACAGCTCCTCCAGAGTGACCTGATCGGCCCAGGCGCTCCAGTCACATGATTCAGCATTGGAAATCACGTGAGTATTTAGAACCTACCAGGACCTACCAGCTGTTCCTGATGTCCTGTTCCTGATGTCAACAAGTAAACTCAAGACTCAGCAAGTTTGCCCAGGATACCAAGAATGCAGGTAAGTATAGTCTATGGGTCTATCGATGAAGATACGAAAATAACTACTGAACTTATGTCACATTCATCGAGATCAACGCCAAAGCTTCACATCTTCCCTCCACCAAACTGTTTGGTCTCAAACCTACACGCAACAGTTGCCTGCTTCGATCTTGGTGTCTTGCGCAATGGGAACATTCAGACTCAGAAGTCATGCAGTGGCCAAGTGGCCCGACCCTTGTTCTCTCTAAGATCCCCGGACCCAAATGGGACGCACGACATCTTTGGTCTTGGGCCTGAAAACAACGACCGAATCGACCATTCAGAAACACACGGAGCAAATGTCTAGCCTGCGAGACATAGAGCGGAAATGTTATTCCTCAAAAAATAAAAATTGGGCATTGTGCTATTCAGTCAAAACTTGTTCGTCTTCTTTCCAACCCTTCCAGATTTCCACATAGATGTATCAAAACAGACACGTGCCAAACCGATGCCAAACATGCGTATGTTCACCATCTGTCATTCATCTTTCACAGATTCTGATAGATTTTCATAGATTCTCATAGATTCTCACCGGTTCTAGATGCGGCAATGTCCCAGACCTCCCGGGCTTGTTGCGGCCCTTTCCAAAGATGTGGGACAGCAGATCCTGGGCCATGAGTTCCAAGATGTTCCAAGCATGACGGATGTGATGACGGATGTCACGGATGTGACAGCGACAGCATTGCAGCATTTGCCGCAGAATGTCAGACGGGGTGTCATGCATCTGACGCACAGTGACGACTCGATGAACCTGTGCTTACGATGTTTGCATATTGTTTACATATTCTCTGCTGAGTAAGCTATTTTGTTATCAAGTTTTTGGCACCCTTGTGACCTTTGAAGAGAACTTCCTGCTAAACTTGATCCGGCAGTAGGCATTGCAGACTGAAATAAGTAGGTCGGATCCTTGCCCATTTAGTCAACCCCTTGCGAGTCCCTTTTCCTGCCTGATCATTCGCATCCTCGGCATCGCGTTCATATTTCTGTGATGTCTGTACATGCTGCACAGAAGTGTACACACTAGGTGCAACACATATGCAGATATGCACAGGCGGAAATGCATATATTGTGTTATGTTATATGCATTTATATGCACTTACCTATTGATAATAGTCATATGGCGATACGCAAATGATTGCATGCATAGGAGACATGTGTATGCATGCGCACATACAGATGTATATTCACATATATTCACACGTGTAGACGATTGCATGTGTGCAGAGGTACACCGATGCATGCGTACACATGTGCATATATTTTGTATGTGTATATACACATACAGAATTGTTAGAGAGAGAGAGAGAGAAAGAGACATTGCAATGCATCCCAGTGCACTCACTCGCATTGCACACAGCTAAGCTAGATGACGTCACATCACATTAGATTACATTGAAATTGAATTACGACATATTACAACAATGTACATGCATTCTGCATTCATGTATGGGCATAGTACACATGCCCACAGTGTACAATGCTGCTGGGCTCCCAACACTGTCCAGTCCTTCTTCTCCAGTGTGATCCTGGAGAAAGGAGTTATTGTGCAGCATTCATATCATTCATCAATTTGGTCAATACAGCATGCCAAAGCGAAGACAGGGTCATTGCCATAGACTATGCTGGACATGACCAGCTGGTGGATGGAGGATCCCCTGAAAAAATATCATTACCTTCGGGTCATTTATAGCCTTGGGAGCGTCTTCTTTTGTCTTCTTGGAAGGCCTATGTCTCGTTGGTCTCTTCGCAATTCTCGCTCTCAACTTCAAAGCAAAACGGTTTTTCGATGTAAAATGTAAGCTTTTCATATTGTCTCTCCAAGAGTCTCTCTATCCTATCATTGAAGCCTCCCTTTGACAGCTCTCAGATGCTCTCAGGGGCCACGGCATATCTCTTTCGTTTTTCTTCATCGCTCAGCACCTGCAGACCATTGTGGTTTAGGATGCCCAAAGCAGCAGCCGCCACAGGAACAGCACCGGAGTCAAATTGTATGAACTGTATGAACTGTATGAACTGTATGAACCGTGCATTTGGTGTATCATGACATTAGGACTGTATCATACTGTATCACTATATCAACACATCCTAGATCCTCTTCACAAGTCCTACGGCGTAAATGTCCAGTCATCATCACCTCAAAAGCACGTTGCAGCTCTTTGAAATCGTCGGGGTCGCCACCCTTGTCCGGATGCAAACGCATCGCTTTTTTGTGGTAGGCCTCACACGAAGACTCACGCTTCCGAATGGCCAGTGCAGTGGTGCAGTGCATATGTCGGATGCCAATGGATGTCAAGCTGCTGTATCTCACATGCCTTGCTTGAAAGACCTTGAAAGATGGCATCTTCCAATTGAGAGCGATCCTTCTTGATCTCTGATGGTGTGGCATCTTTCCCTACGCCCAGAAGGTCGTAGAAGCGACATGTGTCCACCTGTCCGGGTGGTTTTTATAGTCGATGATAGTCGATGTGACACAAAGATTTAAACAATCAAAGAGAGGCAAATAGACAGGGGGGCAGAGAGACGGAGAGAGAGTGAGACAGAGGGATGAGAAGATGTCGGTTAAATCCCCTCAAACAGAGGACTTCGTCTGTCTCAGTGAGAAGTCCACACAATCTGCCGTTTCAAAGCCATTGGAATCGTACTCGAGATTGCTCGAGATATCTTGCTATTTTGATCTATTTTGTATGTTTAATATTGTTTAATGGTTGTTCAATGGTTTTGTGGTCTCGCGGAATGACACTATGCCACTATGCTATGCACCCATGGTCACACCGCCTGTGGACTTGGAGCTGCTCGGCCATCCTGGTGTGGAACTGGGCATTTTGGCTGCGTGAACAGTGGAACTGAACTTCACTGGCATCCAACTGAACCAGTTTTGCAGAAAATCTTGAGGTTGGTCCAAATTCGCAACACATGAGAAATATCAATGTACAAGCACTTCTTGAAAAGTAAAGCTTTGGAAGGAAGTAGTTCCAGAAAGGTGAAGATATAAAGACATAGAAAGACATAGAAAGACATATAACAATACATTACGACATACATTACGACATACAGGTGCTTTCAAGGTTGAGTCCATTTGTCGCTGCCAGCATCACTGCGTGCTGCCTCATCTTCATCACCCGGGCCTTGGCATCAGCCACTGGAATCCCCAACATCAGCAACCTATATGTACAATGAATCATAATGAATCCACGTGTTGATTTTCTATAATCACTACAAATAGAGATAGATGAAACCAATGTTGGACCGGTGCCTGGCATTCTTGCACCTCTTTGGATGCTCACTCCTAGTTTTCATTCCTAGCAAGTGAAGCGATAGTACCGTTGTCCATTTCACAAGTATGCAAACCGTTGCAATATTGGATGATCGGCTGTTCTCCTCATTTGTCAAATTCACTCGATTCAAATCGGAATATGATCACCATCACTACCTGTACAAAATGTGATCAAACGAACTAGAGATGTTTCTTCGACACCACTCACGTCGTCTCACGTCAGGTCCATTGCATCACTGATTCTACTGCCTTATCAGTGCCTCAGTCCTTATCTGTTGAAAGTCGAGGTCAAATCACGAGTCACACTCCACCTTAGCATACCTTGGCACCCTGCCAGGAATTTGAGGGCCAGGGAGGCCTGGCAGTCATCAAAGGGCAGAGAAGTCCAAGTACTGTAAAACTTATATAAATGATATACAGTAACTATAACAGGTCAATTTTACAAACACGACAAATCACATTCCGATTGCACCAACCAGAAAATTCTGAATGCAAGGCACGTTGGAGTGTTGCCCCCAACTTGTTGCACTATACCTATGGGTGGACGTTTGGATGTACAACACATTACAAAACTGTCTCTCATGGCTCAGCATTTCAAGATAGCGGACTGAACCTCCTGGAATGAAGAACATCACCTGCATGCTAAGTCTGCTAAGTGTCCCCAAATTGTGTTCGAACTCTTAGGAATACGGACTCAAGCGATTGGTTTGGAAGTCGATTGCTTTGCTTGTACAGAGGAGGGCCTACTGTTCGCAGATGGAGTTGCAGAGTCTTCAACTGCAAAAAGTGATCTCATGTGTCACTCATGTTATCTCATGTTATCTTATATTACTCCCCAGCATATAGAGATGCAAAGAGGCTGGCTCGTTGCAAACCAGTGGCCTTGACGCTTGCACGTCAGGTCAACGGGAACAGAGCCATGCATAACCCGAGAGCCCTCGAAGGATAAATCGGATAAACTCTTGTCGTCAAAGCTATCAAACAGATCAACTTCTGCCTAGCTAATATATATATATATATGATATGATATGATATGATATGGTATGGTATGATATGATATGATATGATATATATATATATGATATATATTTGCGTATCCTCTCATGAAATGCTGTCTAAGACTCTAAGACTAAACTGGCTGGAATACTACGCTTTATATCTCAAGCTGACGTCAAACTGACATGCGTATAAAATGATACATATACATATATATATATTATACATATATACATATTTCTTTATAGAAAATATATTTTGCATTACATTGTATGTACAGCATATATGAAATATAAGTACAAGTCCTTATAGGTATCAAATGAACATATCACAACAATGTGAAAGCACAACGTGGCGAAATGATGAACACAAACCCTGGCAGGGGTCAAAGGCATTGAGCAAAACAGCTCTGGGCAACAAATACATCAGGCATAGTGTAATTCATGTATCTCTCAGTGACGCCTTCACGTTTTTTTTTAAGAAACTAAGATGCACACAAATGTTCTATAATGTTCTGATCCAACATATCCAACATTTGCTTTCACTTTCTTCCAGGCTTCTGATCGCCAAAACAGGCTACTTTCTGGGTTGTCAGCTCACGATCTGTGCATTCGGATTTGGATCGTCACGATTCCATACTTGTCCATATCTGCATGCACTTCCCACGAGCTAATGCAGTTCTGATCTGCAATCGTTGACAAACAAAGCATCAAAGCATGCGCTCTTCGACCTGAAAGCAACGTCCATGTGGCAAGTTTACTTATGAGTTTGGCATAGTTTGGCCCTGGCAGAACATAGTTCTCCTATGTTCTTCTAGTTTGGTCGTAGTTCTTGTCATGTCTTGTTCTTGTCATGTCTTGTCCTGCCATGTCCATTGCTTCAACGCGTCTGGAGCACCTGATACAGAGCATGGCGCCTCCCTGGTGCACTGGCGGAGTCCTGCGGGCGAGCAGCAAACAAAATGAAAACATCCAAAAATTATCCAACATCGGTGTAACATCTAACATCGTCACAATTCATCATACTGGTGGTTCATCGAAATTCTACGACTGAAAAATGCATCCAGCATATTGGAAGAGCAGGGTTCTTCTTTAGCCCACTTACAATGCTGACGCAACCAGATTGACACCCGATGCAGCCTCTCTTGACAGAGGGTGGGTAAACTTGAAAGTCAGAAGCTATGGCCAGCAAAGGCCATGGCCTGTGGGTTTGGAAGAAGCTTTTAGTGTTGTTTCTGTTGGAGAGCGGAAAATAGAAATGTAGTGAGACATATTTATATAGATATATTATGATATATTAGTCTCTTTACAGATGTAAATAGAAAACTTTAAAAAGGATGCACATCTTCGCCATTCTTCGCCATCTTCGCTCACAAGGATGCACCAAGGAACGCAGATGCGAAAGTCTCCTGCGACCCCGCCACTGAGTGTGTCTTCTCCACAGATCTCAGTATCTCATCGGCGAACTTCCGAGCCCTGAGCGAGACAGACACAAAGTGAATCAAAGTGAACAGCTCAAAGTTGTCAAAGGGCCACTTTCTCTTGGGGAAACATTGGGAAACGCAGCTCCAAGACACAAAGATTTGGACAAGTCGAAACTCCGTATTTCTGCTAGGACTGCAGTCAAGTTCAACCGCTTCTCTTGCAAATGCTGGGCTGTCCCGACTGGATCTCGGGGTTAACCTGCTCGGCTTGTGGGTGAAGAGAAAAGCTTTGATGATTTTGATGCAAAGGGTACAGCGGGTACAGGTAAAGGTTGTGGTAACTGCAACATATCAGGTAATTGTTCATGGTAATGATATGTAATTAATGACTTTGTCTCTCAAAGTCTGGCAGAAATGTTGAAACTGCAGAGTGTGGGCAGCGTGGCATTGAAAAAGCCATCACTTTCGGTACTGTTGACACACCAGAACCTCTTAAGATATCTTAAGACCATTTGAAATGCAAATATTTGCAGCATTGCTGCTGCGAGCTGTGCAGGCTCAAGTGTCGTGTTGTCAGTTGAACCCTGACATACGAAATCCTATACCATCCTATACCAATGATCTGCGATGATTTGTGGCAAAATCCCAAGGTTCAATAGATACAATGCACCTGGCATCTTCCCCGTCACAGTCTCATCCATTTGTTCGGCCCCTTTACTGGACCGCGGCAAATCGAAGAGTGTGGGTGTCTTTGGACAGTTCCACTCCGTAACGGCTGAGTAGCTTGATGATTCCATATGATTCCTAATTTCACAGGATCCAACTGCAACTCGAGGGTGAAGCCCAACAGGCCTCCTCCACCAGTTTCCTGCAGAGGCCAGAGGTACAAAAAGAGGAGCGGTTGCTTTAGACATTTTGGACCGTGACGGGAAGTTCTCTGGCCTCGGCCTTAGAACCTATCAGAAATCACTAGGATCTCAAAGGTGGGAAGAGTGAACAGAGAATCGAACAGAACCTATCGTTCTTAGAACATATTTTGAACATCCCAAAATGCTCAAAATGCTCAACTTCGTAACTTCGACCTCTGCCTCACGTCCCCAGCCTTCGTGCCAGGTCCAGGTCCAGATCCAATGAGCCATTGGTGCCCGGCAACGAGCACAAGCCACCCTGAGAGCGAGGATAAGCAAAACGAAGATGCCCGGAGTGAAAAAGGATGCACAAGGTCTGTAAAATCTCATGGAAATCCATGGCACAGGGGCCTTTCACGGCTCTGCAACTAGCTGGGTCTGCAAAGATTATGGCATGACTTGTCAGGAAGAAGGAACATACAAAAACAGTAAATACTGCAATGCATTTCGAGCCATTCGTGATCAATGTCGCACCTCTCGCACAGGCCATTTAGCATCTTCACGCCAAATGTTACCACCTGACAAAAGCCAGTCTCAGCTAGTCTTGGTAGCTCGGTGCATCTTAAAGCCAATTGAAGTGGACAAAGCTCCTGTCATGGCAGGGGCATTGAGATGTGAGGATTGCGAGGATGTCTAGCCGCTAAGCCGAGCCCAACTTCTCTGGGAATCTCTGGGAAGCCCACCTAGTGCCGAAGTCGATGGTCCGGCCCCACTTGGTGATCCCCTGCTGGGCCTCAATGATCTTCGAATCGCGAAGCCCAGACGCCAGAGCAATCCTATGTGAGCCTACAATAGTCCTACAATCCGACAAGCTAGTTTTTTTTACAATTTCATCTGTTACCCATTGACCCATTGATTATTCTTTAGTGATCTGCACAGTCTTGGTCTCAGGTGCTCTCGGTTCTTGTTCCTCAATGTTTCTATACTACCCTGACAAGGCAATGGAGGTGTGCGAAGAGTGTTCCTACTTTGGGTTGCCACACCCGCGCGAAGCCAAAGAACTGCATGGCCTGCACATCAAGTGTCTGCTCACCTTTTCACCTCTTTTAGATGTGATTTCCTGGAACATTCAGTCACCCTGGAAACCTCCTGATGTAAATAGCACAAAGATTCAAAAAGTATATACCAACAGGATCCAACAGGTACCAAGCACACCGAGAGATTGCTGTCCTGCTGGGCGCTGCAGTGGAGCGGTTGGACAACGCCGAGTCGCAACGCTTGCCAGCACCTCCAGCACCTCCGGCACCTCCAGGTCAGAAAATACGTCAAACATCGTCAAACTCAACACAGCGCACGAGGTGAAACTCAGCTCTAGATGCTCGAGATGCTCGAGATGCTCGAGATGCTCGAGATGCGGTCAAGTTCTGTCAAGTTGTCACGCTCACAGCAGCAATGACACACAGTATCTATGAGTCTATGATGAGTCCAGTCTATGATTCAATGATGAGTCTATGATGAGTCTATGAGTCTATGATGAGTCTATGATGAGTTTATGATGAGTCTATGATGAGTCTATGATGAGTCTATGATGAGTCAATGATGAGTCTATGATGAGTCTATGATGAGTCTATGAGCAACAGAGTAGTAACCTGAGTGGTATTGCCGGATATTGCGCAAGTACACAGGAGCATATGGCTAGCACGTGCCTGGCACGGGGCTCAGCTGAGCTCGAGTGAACATGAGACCTGGAGCAGTGAATGGCGGTGGCATGCGGTGGCGGTGGCGGATACTGGGCAAGCCTTAGAAAGAACTACGGAAGACCTTGCCAGTTTCAAGTGTCGTTTCCCAACGTCGCCCTGTGCGAGCCTTGCTTCTGTCTTGCTCAAGACTCATATGACTCATATGCGTATGGACGGAATGTGACGGTTATGCTATTGACCAAATCAGCGGTTCCGCAGCGAAAAAATTGGACGTTCTCTCACTGGAAACTTTGCCACACACTCCAATCTGGATAAGTTACACAACTTTGGACAAAGGCCGAAGGATGCTAGATCAATCGCACTCGATACACTAGTCTTATCAGATTTATCAGTCTTATCTTCCAACTTGAGTTTAGTTTGAGATCTTTTTTTAATTTTGTTTACATGCTGCAGAATAACATTCTTCCAAGTTTGAGATCCTTCCAATCCCAATCAGATCAATCAGTACAGGCCTCCATCCGTGAAGGGTGTGCCCGCTACGCGGGCTATGACCCCCCTTGAAGCCCAGTGCAGCTGCGGGACACGGCAACTGCTCAAGTTTTCGCAAATCGACTGACTAGAAACTGGATAAACTGGATGAAGATCATAATCTTGGCAAAGCACCAAAACATCTATATATCTAAAGTGTTTCTGAAATTCAAAAGATTAGCTGAGAGGAACTGTTGGTATTCCACTAGATGCACTGAATGCACCATCAGATGCACCATCAGATGCACTTCCTCAAAATCGCTCCAACACATGGGTGGTTCAGCTGTTTTTTGCCGCCGACAGGCCATGCACATACCATCAGCAAGTTACTCGCAGCGCGTTTCACCTGGCACAGAGAAAGGCTGTGTGGGTTCAACCACTGGAGAGTGACCAGAGTGGCGATAAATTGATAGATTGGTATGGTTTGCAATGTCACATCTGCTTAGCCAGAGGTCGTTTGATCAACTGCTGATTGACAGACCTTAGCTACTTCCTTAAAGAAACTACCTTGGAAAGAAACTGTATGATGAAAGTTGGTTACATACTGGCTGGCCTTTGCGAAAAAAGAAAAAAAAGTCAACGGCCACCGGCCACGTGTTCTTTTTGCAAGTTTGATGGGCCTTGAGCATATACTAGCGATACTAGGCTGCGCAGCCTTTTTACTTTACTCATGTTCATGACGGCTTCTACAAGCAGTTCATGCAAAGTGGCCATTAAAATGTGTATGATAAAATCCTAATGGAATTCAAAGGATTTAAACACATTTAAACGAATTTCAGTGGATTCCAATGGATTTCAATGGGCTACTGATGGCTGCACCATGCTGCACCCAAAGAAAACGACAAAACGACAACGACCTTGGCCCGGTGCCGTGCGGTTCAGCTGTTCAGCTTGGCGCCAACAAAGTCTTGGCGCTGTCCAGGCGATTCTGCCGTGCCAGGTTGGAGGCTTTGGACGCCTCACGCGCAGATCCTACGGATCCTACGAATCCTACCGAAATCTGATGAAGTCTTACCATCTGTGCAGGATCTGACTATGTGTCTGTGGTGTCTGTGGTGTCTGTGGTGTCACCAGTGTGTGTGTGTGTGTCACTTTTTGGCGTCTTCTAAAGTCGTAATGTGATCGTGTGTCATACCTCCAGGGATATGTTCAGTCAGTGGTACAAGTACTGAGTTACTGCGATCCATCGTGACCCTACATGCGCTTCTCAAGGTTCGATTCCAAAGAAATTAAAATTGTGAATTGGTTTTGAAACCGTCAATCTGCTGAGGACGACGGGGTGTGGAGTGTGGTACTGTTCGACTCCAGAATCTACCAGATCTATACTCCATCCAAAAGCGATGCAAAGCTGGGTTGCTCTCTGATCTATCAAAGCTTCCTGGTAGTTCTTGACACGGTCGTAGCACTCTTCTTTCAACGCCTGTCGAAAAAAAATGTCCCAGTCCCGGTCCCAGTTTCTTTTCGCTGCACAACTCTGCCAGGAAAAGCAGCTGGTCCAACTGGTCCAACTGGTCCAACTGGTCCAACTCACCTTTCAGGCCGACTGAAGGTATGGCCAGTCCAGTCATAGCCCCTTCACCCTGACAACAGTAGGCTACAGTATGTAATCTCGTGGGTGGGTAGTAATCAATCACAAATCATTCATTTGCCAGAAGCGAACCAGAACCCAGCACGTTTTAAATAGCAACGTCGAATAGCAAGCGCATCCAAACATCGGACATCGGACAATGTTTGCTCCCAACTGCCTTGAGATATTTCTCGGCGTTTTCCTTGCCTTCTGCGTTGCTTGTCTGCTTCCTCACAGAAGCTGCACTTGAATTAGCGTGATCCTCTTCCAAAGCGTATTGGTCTTATTAGTTTCGCTTATTTTCTGCCAATTTGTCTCAGAAGTTGTGCTTGTCCTTGCGCTTTGAAAGTTCTACCATGCCAGGATAATGAACTTTGAGATGGTCCAACAAAGAAGATCCCACCGGACCAGCGAAGAACATGCTGTGTATCGCATTCCGCTGTTGTAGCTCTGGAAATTGGACAGATCTTCCGGTTCGCTGCGAGAGTTGAAAAATCTGGTGTCACAAGGCATAACAAAACCGTGTTTTCTGTCGGGCCGTGTTTGGTTGGAAACTGGTCAGTTATCTTCTCGACCATTTCTGCTTGGATTCTGTTCCATATCTGCAGAGACACGTCAAGAGTCCAGATTCGTACATCCCACAGGCCCCATTTTCTCCCTTCCTCTAAAATCTGGGCCATCCGGCACTTGCAAACCCTGAAATCTTTTCTCCAAACCAGCTTTGACCTCAGAGAGGGTCAACATCAAAACGTGTCAAAGGTGGAGAAAAACTCCTGTTTTGCGCGGAACTAGTCTGGTGCCTGTGCTCATGTAAAAAATAATAACTAGCAGGCATTGGGATCCACCGTGCAACTCATAGCATCTTGCATACTGTCTTGTAAAAAATCACACTCACATCATATGACAAGATTAACCTCCAAACATGAATGACACGGTAATGACACGGATCTCCGTGATACATCTTGATACCATGTCTTACAAGCAGTACAAGTACATTTTGTGGCCAGGCTTCCGGCACCCGACTTCTCCGCCAAACTTCGCGTTGCCTCCTCGCGGGCCTTCTGAGCATCCTGCAGTTTTGGATCCAAAATAATAGATCAAGATGAATCAAGATGAATCCATTGAGATGGTTGATGCTCGACCTGCTACACGAGCAGGAAATGATCATGGATATCATATTTGGATATCATTTAGATATCATTTGGATGTCATTTGGATGTCATTTGGAAAGGATGGCGTATCACACGTGCCTTGGTGCCCTTCTCATATGCCAACTGGGCATCCTTCTCCTGCTTCTCCAATGCCTCTTTTGAATCACAATCCTTGAGATGAGATGATGAGACAGTGCTGTGCGTTTTTGTGGTTTCATGTAGGCGTTTGAATGACAGAACTGACAGAACCTCAAAAAATGATGGACAAGGTCTGCCTTCATGTCTTTATTGATGTCCACAACCTCAACCGAAATTGTGCAGCTGGGAGTAGGAACATCTCTCCATCTCCAGCTTAGCACAAAAGAAGTTACGACCACAAGCGGCATCGCAAATATTGCAAATGATGTGAAATGTATGGAAAATGCAAACGGAAGCCGCCATGGGAATTCCCACAATCTTGTCCAGCATGCCCAGGACAGCATCGCCGGGCTGCTTCTGGTAGGCACCAAAGCCCTCGCAAGTGAAGGAAGCAGCTACGCAGCTACTCGTAGTGGAAACTGTAGAGGTTGCAGAACTCGGAAAAAAAATTGGGAAGACTTATCCTGTTTATCGTTCTCTTTCTGACAAGGCTGACAAGGCCTGTTGATTTCTTTGTGACAAACATGGTTTCGTGGCAGATCCTGAAAGGTCCTGCATCCCTGTCATGGACCATTTGGGACCGGCTTCCTGTGACATGCCATGGCCCATGGCCGATACCAACCGCCTCTGGGAGGACAGAAGAGCTCTCACTGGCCACTTGCAGACCTAAGCTCCAAGAGCTCAGAAAGCCACTGGACGCACAAAACACATGAGTCACATGGCAACATATGGCAACATATGGCAACTAGTTTCCATGTAATTTCATGTAATATGAACAGTGCAATTCCACCTGTGGATTTCAGGTTCAAAACTCCACAATATACTGTATGTGCAGCTGCATCTATTTACGTACAGACTACGTATATGTGAATGTATTCATATATATGTGTGTGTGCGTGTGTGTGTGTGCGCAATACATGTTCTCTCTTTACCAGTTAGATTTCATATTGAGTTCCCCCAACACAACCCAAAGAATGGTTCCCTCAAGTACAAATGCATAGACCTGTAGATCTAGAGATTACATGCAAACGATGTGTGCTATGTAAATATTATATATATACATATATATATATATGTGCATGTATGTTTTTAAATGTACATGTGTACATTATATATATATATACTATAAATAGTATAAGTTTATATATAATATGATATTATATGTGTAAAACAATCATTGTAATGCAATCTACATACTTTTTTCAATGATCACAGCTCATCATATTTCAATAGGATGAAACACAGCAACTACCTGCATTGGTCGCCAAGTCACCAGAGATGCCTTGGGCACGCGCCCGCAAAAGGCGATGTTGCGCCTGAGTGGCGTTGAAGGGAACCGCATCTCCCAAGTGGACGCCTCAATGCAATCCCCTGAAATTTGAACGAAAGATGATTGGAGAAATTGGAGAAGGTATGATTCAAGTTCAACTTGAATTTGATGAATTTTGATGATTCAATTTTATGATTCCATTTTGATTTGATGGATGAGATGATCACATGTTCAATGATGGGTAATTCTTCGAGACAGGATTTCATGAAGCGAGATGAGATTCCGACGTTCGAATGGTGAGACTCACATACCGTGATGCCACTTCTGACTCTTTGGACTCATCCCACGGGGCTCCTCACCAAGAGGCTCTTCTTGGGCTTTTCAGAAACATAAAAGGATGCCAAACGCTCCTCGTGAGGCAGCTTGGGCAACTTCGGACCTCTGTATACTGTATAATCTATATTATCTATATACAGTATATACATGTATATACTATTGTATTACTATTGCAGTTGCCCTTCTGATTCTCCAGTGTCATGATTCTGATCCAACCTGCCTTACCACGCTGGAGCAGGTCGATGGCACGTTGGTCGGTTGCAAAAGCCTGGTAAAGAGACTGCAATGGCATGCCATGGCCCAAAGATGCCAAAACAACAGTGGCCACATCTGAAGGTGCTTCAAGAGTTTGGAGAAAGGCAACCGGCAAAACCTTGAGATTCAGATTGGCGTAACGTCCAAATGATTGTTCCTTTAGTTCTTCATGAATGTTTTCTTACATGAACCTGACATTGTGCGGCATCTGCCTCACAGCATGTTGGCATTTCCAGTTAGGACCCATTTATACTAATGTGCGTTTTATTTTGGTCCTCAGACTCAATTCACCGCACCATAGGTGGAAACCCCTTTTGCACAGTGAAGGGTCAAGTTGCAGATCGAAGAATTGTACATAGCTAAAGTGTACCTCGCTTTAGGTGAACTCACTGCTTGTCCTTTTGCTGCTGGAATATGAATGCGACAGGACTTGCCGTGCCTCTTTGTACTCCACATTTTCGCTCTGTCTTTGTTTAAGACCATCATCCATCTGCTGGTCCAGTTCCTCGGGAACACTGAGAAAGTCTGATGTTTCATCAGGAAAGACAATCGTCACGCTCGCGATTTCGAATGTGAGCTTGCTAGATACTCTCAAGGGTTTTGAAAGGTGTGATGGCGTTTTCCTTTGGTGTTCTTTGAGCAGTCCTGGATATTCTTGGTGAGAGCTGCAACATCCTGCCACAGAAACTCCCACGGTTGGAAAAATGGGAGAAAGAATAGTTCTGAAGATCAAATGAGCGGCTGCGGCAAGCTGCAGTTATTTTAGGCACGCGTCGAAGGATGTCGAAGGTTGAGGTTTCAGCGACCATAGTTTCGTGACAACATTTTTGACATCTCTGGCCAGCTAGGCACCTAGAAAACCTCCAGCACAAATTCACTATGGGATTTGACGAATCAAGGACTGAAAAACCCCCGCTGTATTCACATTCATCATTATTCATCTTTAGTCAGGGTCATTATAAAATACTGTAATGTACCAATATGCATCCACATGCTACTTTGTGACTCGATTTGGTTTACAAGTTTACCCCAATCTTACAGCCCGCGGCGCCTGCTGCGCTTGCAGTTGGTCAGCCTTCACCTGAAAGCTTCGACGCTTCCAGTCTACCATCTACCACAGGAACCCTCCTGACACATGGAGCCGCATTTCCGCCTACTCAGGGCCTACTCAGGGCCTACTCCATCCATGTGAACTTTCCTTTCATTCCAGAAACGAAACAAGGCCATCCTCTGGAGTAGAACAGGATAGAAACGCTGCCGCTGCAAACGGAATCCCAAGGAATCCAGAAAAGAGCAGAAAAGCACAGAAACGGAAAGAAACGAAGGCGAAGATGCCCAAGCCATCCCAAGCCATCTCTTCTCGCCTCCTCCATGATCTTTGTTAGATCCTGAGACTCGGAAGGACTCGGAAGGACTCGGAAGGACTCGGAAGGACTCGGAAGGACTCGGAAGGACTCGGAAGGACTCGGAAGAGGTTCAAGACATGTCAAAATCGGAGTTTTGACCCTGGACATCCCTGGACGATTGCAGGTGAAAGAATGGTGGTCGATCAGGAGCAAGCTGCAGCAGTCTGTACAGTGTCAAGGAAACGCAACAAACAAAGTTTATACGTGCTTCAGCATACTTTGAGGAATGCTGAAGAACTGTGTACTGGTATGTCCAGACTTCCAAACCATACTGACAAGGGTCAAGAACGTGTGGTTCTGTGAGCAAAAGAGGCGTAGATCGCAATTGAGATGAACCAAGGAGAACAAATGCAAGAACGCAACAAACAAACTCATACAATGTTTGACTGAACCCAACATACTAGAGTTGAAGGATAATGGAGCCAACTGTAAACCGTGGAACTTGAATAACTTAAAAGAAAAGGGCATCACTTCTACCACTCTTGCGCGCCATTGCGCGAAATGCGAATGTCACTGCATACTGCAGCATACTGCAGCTGCCTCCCCAGACTGCTCCAGCGTTTCGGCAGTTTCTTTGGAGCTGCGCAGCTCCGCCTGCAGCCGTGGTCGTCGGTTGGAACTGTCATGGCATTGCCATGGCATTGTCATGTGTACATTTAGTACATTGATGTACATTGTGTACATTGTGTACCTTGTGTACCTCACATGGTGAAGCTTTCCAGGCATTTTGAGGTTCTCAATTGAATTGGTGATCTAGGACAGCCAGCCTGGATTAGATCTTGAAAGAAAGGGAATGTCGCTTTGAATCTTTGAAGCACTGCTGTTGCGCTACACAAGCGAGACATAAGCGGCAGCACCTTGCACCACTTGAACTTTCGATCTGCTCCCATCTGCTCTTGCTTCAACATATGAATCATTTCCTTAGCACTTCGAAGAGCTGGGAGGAGGTCGTGACTTGCACTGGAATACCAGAGTCCCGCAGCTTTTTCCCATGCTTTTGCGGCTTGGTAGTCTAAAGCTGGAAACCACGCTGGACTCAGCTCGTTGACATCAACTCACCACATTCGGCGATCAGCTGAACGAATCATTGATGGCTGGTCCGAATTTCAAGTCCGCCGAGTTCTCATATTCTCAGCCATCTGCTCAGTTCATATTGCCCATTTCCCGTTTAGTTCGTATTCATCGCTGCGATGACTCCTTAAGATCTCAAAGTGGAAAGAATAAAAGGACCAGTGCTTTTCCAAGTAGTTCGTGGTGACTTGCTTGGCTCTCAACTTGTTCATCGTTGATCCTTTCATCACCAAACAAGCGCGGCAGCTGTCGAAGCTAGGTGGTCAATTGAGCGATGAGGTCAATGGCTGCCACTCCGCAGCAACCGGGGCAGTCCAGCAAGGATCCAATGGTCTCGGCGTTTACGCCACCCAAGGCATAGATTGGTGTCTTGGGGTAAGATCCTATGACCTCCTTCAACTGCTGCACACCAGCCTCAACGGATTGATGTCCGGTGGGGCTCATCTGAGAGAAAATTGACATGTCTGCCTGGGGCAAAATCACCTCAAGATCTACAAATCTCAAAACAGTACGGTCTCCTGCTTGGGAACATGGATACCGCATGTCATAAAAACACAGCAAGATCTGAGTGTCCAAATTGTGTAAATACATGGTACTAGTAGCACTTATATACAATATATTATAACATAATTTATATACATTTAAGGGAAAAAAACCTTCAAGCAGCAGTTAAAAGTCACAAAACCGGAGAAACTTTGGCCACATGAAAGTTCACACCAAAATCCGAGGTGCGGTTGGTTCACCAGGATGTGATCTGGTGGGGAAAACTGGGGAGAAGAGTGCAGCATCCACAGCACTAGCGGTCGCTGCAGCAGCTGCGGAAGGGCTGTGGCAGGCTCCAGTGAACAGCCAATGTGGATGTTTTTGACGCAACCGGGGAACCTGCAAATAAAGCGTGAGGTTCTGCCTTTTCGTCCTGCATAGATATCCCATGATATCCCGATATCCCGAGTACATACAGGGATGATGTCCTCGTGTTGCTCTTTCACGTAATTGGACAGGGCCAAGGGATGAAAGATGCACGAAGAATTTCGATACTTGTCAGACATATCTACACATCAGCAGAACAGTCGCATATAATGTCAACCCAAGATTAATAAACCATGGTTTATTAATTAGGGGGGTACTCCTCCAATAGTCATGATTTAATACTTAAATGGTACCCTCCCAATTAAACAGCCTAGGGGGTTATTAATCCAGGGTTGACATTATTTTGTCATCTGACAGAAATCTTAGGTTCGACATGCGGGCCCTGGCCTCCTCCAGCATTCCTTCTGGAATGTGCAAGCCGTCAGCCTCCACGTCCACAGCCAAGTCTTCGTCACGTGCTACGAGCATCTTCAAACGTCTCCTGGACATCCGAAATCGACAGTCACCATGTCACCATGTCACCTCGCCCAGCTTTGATAGCGCGACATCATGACTCTTGCCCATGGCTGTCTTTTTGCCTTTGAAAATACAGTGCTCTGAAAAATCTGGTCGTTGCGTTGGGCATCTGACCGATTCCATGCACGCGGTCCTTTGACACAGCTCTGCAATTTCAAAGGCTCTTAGGCGCCGCGAAGGGACCTGAAGAGGCAAGAAGAGTTCGAGGCATCCCTGGAGAGGTCAAGATTGTAAGAGCAAGATTTGTAGGAAGCCTTTCAAGAACAAGCACTGCACTTCTACAAAATGTTGAAACAAACCAACAGACAGGAAAGGCCCAACATCTTTGAACATACAAGGAAGTTAGCGTGGAAAACAATGTGATTTCCACTTGATGTTTCAGTGCAAAAATAGCGTCAATTTGGTCGGTGACATACGGTGACACGGTGACACGGTGACACGCACATAGAAACGGACATGTTAAATCACGTTAAATCAGCATCACAGCATATCACAGCCTCCCTGGTCTCGGCCTCGTAGTCTCTAAAGATCACCCAGCTATCGAAGGGCAGGTGATGGACCAAATCTCCAAAGGTGCCCTGAAATCATCCGAAATCCACATGCCCTACATATGCCCTACATGCCGCATATACAGCATATATATATATATATATGCATATATGCATATATGCCCTATATATGCCCTATATATGCCCTATATATGCCCTATATATGCCCTATATATGCCCTATATATGCCCTATATGCCCTATATATGCCCTATATATGCCCTACCGGACTTAGTAATGGAGGACGGCCAAAAGATGTTATTAAAATATCACACAATTCCGTCGAGGGCGTTCAAGGTCAAAGCACACACAAATGTTGAAAGCAAATCTCTGAAACTCTTGGACCTATATATATATATAGATACACATACATTATATATGTACATATTAGTAGCATGCAGTTTTTTTCAGGGAACAGAGTAGCTCCATCCACGGGAAGAAGATTTGAATGGACCACACTTGAAGCATAGTGGAGCTGAGGGGCCTGTCGCTGCTGATCTGTGATAGCAATTAAACTCGGCAAGCCATTGAAGATCTTTGGTCGAGCAGCTGAAATCTTCGTCAACTGATCCAAGATCAGAGAAGAGGATGAAGAGGTCATGGTACATGTTTCTCTTGGAAGGTGTCTACGCGTCCATTTCCAAAAAGTATGAGATTTACACGTGCAGGTTTCCAAAAGGCCTGAAACTTGAGCCGAAGCTGATCCCCATCGATTCATTGCGTCTTTTCAGCAACTGACCCATCTTAGAATAGTTTCAGCTTTTGATTAACGCGTCAGCCTGTTTGAGTTCTGTGCATTGATCAAAATCTGTTAACGTCTCTTGACCTTCTTGACCCGATGACAAAGTGCACGCACGATGGCTGATGCCTTCACAAGTAGAGATTGACTAGACGCAGTATGACGCAGTTGCTATTTTGTTGCTGTTTGCATTGGAAATTTGGAATACAGTATTCCGCTTGGATCCGTCTGCAGGATGCATCACAAATTCTACATGGCAGACACCAGGGAGATGACATAAAATGACATACGCCTCATACGCCCCTCAAGATTGTAGAGATTTGTAGTAGAGCCTCGAGCATCTAGATTGATCTGCGTACAACTTGCTGAACAAAACTAGAGTGACCTCCTTCCCATGTCTTTCTCACGAACTGTCATGCTATGAGGACAGCGTGCAGCCATAGCAGCAAAAGAAGTTCTTACATTCTATCGAACATCATCAGCATACCAAGCCAATCCCTTGACTTTCAAAACCCAAATATGCTTCAGTGTGTACCGTTTTGTTTTGGTGGAAGAGAAGTAAAGTTGCTGCCGAGAACCAATGTGGGAACATGAAGTGTCGTGCAATTCTCCATAGGTCCATAGGGTTTTGCATTCCACTTTTTTGGATCATCTCAAAACCCCATAGCTTTTGCTTTCAAGAAGCTGGATCCATTGGCAAAATGCTTCCACATGTTTTTGCAGAGCTGAGCTTCCGTGATTTTGTCTTGGATCTTTTTGAAGTCGATATTTCCTGAGCGCCTCAGCTGTGCCAGGTAGGTTCCATGACTTGTCTACACAATAGTTGTTACATGTTGTTACCCATCCAACTCACAAGGACACGGCCCAACATCCTCGATGTTTGTTGATCACAACCAGCACAGCAACGGTGTGTTCTTTTTTAACGTGTTTTGAAAGATGCATACCGGCCAATGATCTACTCAAAGTGAGGGCTTGGTACTCGTAAAGATACTAATGATACACACAGTTTCTCCTGAGCTGCGACACATCGCCGAGGCTAGCAATGCCAACTGTGGCTCGCCTGCACAGATGGGCTCCAATGCAAGGTCAAACGGAGCCAGAGAGGGAAGGTGTTTTAAGCTTGGAAAGTGAGGCTCTAAGTCTATAGAGTATATAATTTAATAAAATATAAGGGTATATGATGGTATATGCATGTATATATAATATATAAATACTATAGACTAAATATAAAGTATTACAAAGTTCTAAAACATGTAGCAGCAATCCCTGTGTCGCATCCCACCTGCTTCCGACTCGGAGACCTCAGTGCAAGGGCGACCGAGGTCCAGCTCTCGCCGCTTGTGGCGTGTTGCCCGGAGCTGAGGATTAGAGAAGTTTCAAGAAGTTCAATACTTAGACCCAATCTATAATCTCAAAGATCTCGACATTGGGGATGGAAATGCAAAAATTTTCAGTTGACCTGTGCTGACATTTGACATAGCCTTGCTCCCAGCCTGCAGGAACGATGGCGTAGAGGATGGCATTGCTTTCCGGAAAATCTCTCGTGCCTGGCAGACACCAGCTGGCTTTGGAAACTTGCGTTGGAACAGTTGGGCTGAGCAGATTGGGCAGATTGATCACATCTGTCATGTCCTGTCATGTCCTGTCATGTCCTGTCATGTCCTGTCATGTCCTGTCAACTGTAGGCTTTCCTCGGCATCCCAAAAATATACCGAATCTGCATCCAACGCTTTTTTAGACTCTGAAACCTGCGGCTGCGACCTCGTGTTTGAGCCAGTCTTAGCAACTGTTGAAACTCATCTAAGGTGCTAAAAGCATCACAGTGGTGGTGTAAATAGAAGCGGTCTGGCTCATAAGGATGGGATCTGATCAATGGGTCCTTTTTAGATGATCACCTACTGTACATCAAGTCTTTGTAGAATCCCTTGTCACTTGTCTTTACTTTGGGTTCCAGCCTGTTCGTTGGGACATCTGGGGGGCTTGTGTGTTGGTTGTCTCGACACAAAGTTAAGCAAATAGTTCCATGACCATGTCCCGCAGGGATGTATCACACCTGCACCAGTTCAGAAAAGGCTAAGCAAATTATGAAGCTGGCACTGCACTAGGCTGGTGATCTCTCGGACACTTCTAGAAACTATTGAGAATCAACACCTTCACACCACCAAGACGTATAGAATATATCATATCCACAAATGTTCAAAATTCTGATCTCTTCTCAGACTTCAAACCCACAAATGCTCGCGATTGCTGGTCTGCAAGCTCTTCAGCAAGCTCGTCAGCAAAGTTGCAAAGGCGGTTTGGAGTGTCACAAGATGTCACAAACTTAGCCAACAGCATCCAACATATCCAACAGCTGCTTCATTCTGTTGGCCAAGTTGGTCCAGTGCAGGGATGGGACAGTTGCGGTACGGCCGAAAATCTCTGCTTGATCCTGCCTTTCTTAGTATTAAGATATGTTAGATATGTTTGGTAAGGAAGGTCATGGTGCAAACTGATGGATTGCAATTTCACACTACGAATCAGCAGGAAATTATGGAAGGTTGCATTTCAAAATCGATATCCCAAAACCGATCGGATCCGATTGGTCTATCGGCATCTTGTAGTGATTCAGGGCCCAGTTTCAGAACACACCTCAAGTCAGGATACCAAACCTTCAAGTAAGTCCTGGCATTGAAGGTTTTCCACCACACTCTGACAAACGAAAAGGTGGCTCGCGGATGTTGTCTCAAGTTTGCATCTTTGACATGGCTCACTACATAGACGCATACTGCCCTGAAAATCCCTCTTGCACTGACGAGTATGTGAGTGAAACGTTCCACGTGTTTCACTTGAAGTCCCAGGAAAGCAGCCAAGACCACAAATCCCCTGGTTGTCAAGTTTGTTAAAAGTCCATGTTCTGAAGAAAAGGTAAGTGTACAGCAAGTATTATGCAAGTATTTATAGTACTACGTATAGTAATTGGCAAATTATGTGGTAAAATATCTTGTGATTCTGGTGGGATTGGCACCAATTCAGGGCATTGCATAGTTTGGCCTTTCAGGAGGCCACTTGACATCCAGTGCAGAATTCTCAGCACCCACGCCCCGAAAGTGCCGTGGGGTCTGAGCATGTCAAACAGTCAAACAGTCAAACAGCAGAGATGCCGCATCCAGTGGATGTGAGCAAAAAGGGATCCTGGTTTTGGCTGAACCTTGCTTCTGTATAGTTGCGCAAGAGTCTCTTCAATAGAAAATATGGCCCTTCCCGTCTCGGCTCCCCAGCTACTATAATTACTATATACGTCCAGCACTATCCATTGAATCCGGACCCTTGCGTTCTGAATATCCATGTGGTCCTGAGGGCTGGTGCATTGTCACTCCGCCTTTGCAGCGCAGCGTCAAAAATCTGAGCCTCTGAGTAGCATGTCAATATCTATCGCGGTGTGGCCAACGCCTCTTTGCACTCTGTTGCACTCTTCTGCGCTCTGTTACACTCTGTTCCACTCTGGCAAAAAGCTTCTCTCTGTTGACCGCAAAGGAGGAGACAGGCAACAGATCTTTGACGCTTCAGTCTTCAACAAATACTCCTTGCTCAAAACAGCTGGTTTACATAAACATGCAGAAACTCTTTGACAAAAATGGAAAGCTTGAAGTTGTTCAAGCCAAAGGTGGTATATTTAGCATTACCTCCAGAAACCCTGCAGAGCTCATCAGCATTGTTGGCCGTGGGCAAACCAAGGCCATAGCAGTTGGACATGTTAAAATGTGTCCACCGACTGTTTCTTGGTAGAAGTTCATAAAACATCATAGAGCATCATGAAAGATTATAAAACATTATTACGATTATAAAACTCAGTATCTGCATGTGCTGCATGTGACTTGATTGACACTTCATGTGTTGGTGCTGAAGCTTCTTTGCATCTGCACCAGCTCTGAGCACCCGAGGTGTCAAATGGACCGCACAGACTCATAGGCCTGAATCACCGACCTGAGACGATTGCGCCGATTGCGCTTGCAAGAGATATCAAGAGATCCAACTCCCGTCAGCAACACATGCTGGAATCGCATCATAGCTTACTTTCTGGCTTGAACTGTTCCGCTAGAGTCGTTAGTGTTAGTGGCATCACACGTGCAAATGCCTTCAAAGCTCTTCAAACCGTACTTTCAACAGCCGTGTACCAGTACCAAGCGTTTGCCTCCCAGACAGACGCTTTCAATGCAAGTTCGGGACTAGAACCCTCAACCGATCCACAACACCGAGTCACAAGTCACAAGCCGTTAAATTGGTATCTTTCTTTCTTTCCTTGAGATACCAATGCTTCTACTAAGTGGTCTCCAAAAAGACGAGCGTCAAAACACTGTGACCACGAGCAAGCTGAAATGCTGTGTGACCACGCGCATTTCGGATCTCTGGATCAGCATCATGTTGAAGAAGAAACTCCACCAAGTGCTCTCCCCCAAAGAAACATGCAAAGCCCAACGGTGTCGTCGTCCATTCCGCATAAAAATGCCTTTGTTGGGGCATATGGCAGCCAACACCGTGGCCTCAAGCAGCCCTTTACCTTCTGCCCAAAGGAGCTGTCTGTAAAAATGGACAAAATTTAGACAAACATGAATGAAGCGCAGTCATACCTGTCTAAGTCTAAACGGACTCGCAGAAAAGAGCAGCCCAGGATGAATGCCATGTTTTTCCAACTTGATCTCAGGTCAAGTAAGGCCGAGAAGCACCAGTGCTGATGAAGAGCCTGCCAGTAGCAGTTTGGCTCTGCTCGCAAGCTCAATAGCATGAAAGATTCCTGGCCCCGCTCAAATCGAGTGGGTGTGAAGTTGCCTTTTCTTGACCAAATGCATCAATAGTCTGTCTTAGCCATCATAAAGTTCATCTTTGTGGAGGGAATGCTCTTCCAAGCCCGTAGATATATGTTCCTGTTTTTCATGTATGTGTGGCCCAGTGTCTGGTGGTCCCCCCTCCCCCCCGAGATGGTTATGGTCCCTGTATGTATATGGATATATACATGATTATACAAGTATGTGTGTATCTATGTGTATATATATATATGTATATATATAAGTTATATTATGTATATATATATATATGTCATAGAAGTATCATATATAATTATATATATACGTATCTATATACACGTGGAAAATATATACAGTATGTATATGTATCTGTATATATATCTGTGGATGTGGTGGGGGTGGGGGAACAGGGGGTGGGGGGGTTACCATATGGAGTTGGGGGGGCCATTATATGTATATAATATCATATATATATTGTTTATTGACAAGCGTCTTTCCGCCTTCTGTTTCCCGCAACGTTGGCACACCTCATGCCTTTTAGGTCTTTCTATGTACATTCCCAGTCCACACTGTCCTGGCCTTGCGCTTCATGTGTCATATTGATGTCACTGTTCGCTTCCAGTAACACTCGCGCTGCCTCTCAGAACTCTTGGAACACTTGAAGCTGAGGAATGGCAACCAACATTGTTTTGAAATATTATGAAGGCAAAGGAAAGATACAAAGAAAAAATGGCGGAGAAAATGAAGAAATGTGCGGTCATGAGAGATACCTACAAAGTACCCAAGTTACCTGGAGCTCAAGAGTGTCGCACTTCTGTATTGGACTCCTTTCCGATCTCAATTAAAGCTCGTGCCCAACAACCTAAGAACGTAGCTTCTATTATATAGTTCAGGCTGCATGCTATCAGCGCTCACCAGCTTCTGAAACCCGAGAACATTGCATCAAAGATTTGGAGCATTCAATTTCAATCTGATGTCTCAACCCCTCCTCAACACAGTGCGGATTCATGGAAGACCACACAGCCAAGTTGGAGAGCGGATGCGGGCTGCAGATTCCTCTACCTCAGAAATGGAGATTCAAATGGACACGTAACGGCCACACCACGTGTGGAGAAGAAAAACTGAACACATTTTGCGCCATCGCGCGATCGCATGGTATTGCTCCATTGGGAATCAAATGAATCAAGCTGCGGGCCGAGCTGCTCTCAGGATTGACATCGGCCCGTATTTCGATTAACTTACGGATGACATCTGGAGGAGCACACCGAGCACAGGCCAAGGACAATGCCGGAAAATGCGCTGGAGAAGTAGTGTGGTTCCTGACTTCAGTGACGCATGCCGTGTGCCAAAGTTGCAGGGATCCGTGGACACCGAAATTGCTTGACCAACTGTTTGGTGCAGTTCGCAGATGCGGTTGCGGTACACTCCCGACAGAACTACACGCGTTCATTCAACTGGAGTTCACAGATATGACATTATGAGCGTAATATATGTATAGTAGACCGTATGTAATTATACAGAATATGATATGTATAGTATATCATGTGTATATATATATGCGCATTTATGTACAATAAATGTGTGTATGAGAAGGAACAATAAACATCAATAAGCCATCCCGAAAACTCTAAGGCATCCAAAGCATACACCACGGCTCAAAAACATCAAAGAATCTCACATCAGGCACGCACGGTACGTGTATGCTACCTGTAAGTGCCGTTCTCTTTGGGCAATGTACTCCTGTCGTGACAGAGGAGAAACAAACTGCGCAAAATGACCCTGTTGTTTGCCAAAGTGTCACATCTGCGCTGTATTCGACCAAAATGTCCTTAGGTCGTAGCAAGAAGTGCGTCCAAGTACATGAAAAGCAATGCGATATGATATGATATGATTATTCGAGCTTGAAATGGTACAGGTCCGGAAGAAGTACGGTATGGAATGCAGAATCTTTTACTTCTTGCCTTGAACTTTGTGTAGTCTCCCAGTACAAAGAACAACCTTATAACCGTGCAGCACCTTTCAGCATTTAAGTGCCTGGAGGTTTAGCAAGCAGGGACCGTGAGTTCTCTTGCTCTTATGAAAACATTCCTGAAGGGCCTGTTCTACAATAGTGTTTTCTTCCGACTTTTCATAGACGTGAAAAGAATGCACCTGAAGCAACCGATACCTCCTCCCTCTCGACGTTGTCCCAAACCAGATTCGTAGCTCTAGTGTCTTCCAAACGTAGAACAGTTGTCATGCTTCATGTTTGGACTGATCATTTCGCTGAAAATTCTGAAACACATAAAGACTTTTCTTAGGATTTCAGTTCTGAAATTGGCTATGGATTTCTCATGATTTTTGTGGAGTGACATGTGAGAAAGCCTTCAGGATCTTCAGGCACCTGCCAGTACCCACATGCACCAGGCATCCACCATCTCGATGGTCTTGCAGCCGCCCATCACATGAAACCCCAAGGAGTCCACCTGAGGAAAGAGATGACCACATGCCACAGCATCACAGCATGCCACAGCATGCCACAGCACTAGGTGCTACTCGCCACTCGCCACTCGCCAATCATGAGTGTCAAGTCATGTGTCAAAGGTGTTTGAAGTTTTACTTTCTTATCTTTCTTGCACTTGTTGAAAACCCCGAAAGGTTTCCTATGAAGAAATGATAAGAAATGTTCCAAGATACTCTATGAAGAATGGTAGTCACCATAGTCACACTGAACAACCTGAAATTGGCTCGGCCACATAATTCGGATCTGCTCGACATTCCAACAACGTTCTCGTGACATCTGGATAGCGCCAGCTGAGCTCCAATGCAAAGCCAAGTGGAGGCCAAAGTCCCTCGGGAGCAAAAGCAGATGAATGTGGGAATATGATGGAATATGCAAGTGTCGCGCTGTTACACACATAAGAGTGGCAACAAAGGGCACAGTCAGTCCAGTCAGCCTATACGCCTATGTTTCTGCTGCTTTTCTAGAAAAGTATATATGTGGATCAAAGAAAGGACAAGGAACAAGAGCGTCCTTAAAACTGGCTTTGGACTGTTGCCAGAACTCTGTTTGTATCTGTGCTGTTCACCGAAGCCAGTCAAGAAGCAACGACTTTGGCCTTGCTATGGCCTTTCATCAAGCTTCTTGATGTGCTGCACTGATACTGACCAGACCGAGGTGCAATTACTGTGTGCTCAATCCTCGCGTGGGTGGGTTGATTCAGAGTAGCCACCGCATTGCCAGAAGCAGTCGCAAAGAATGGAATGAAGGACTCATCACCTGCATAGCAGACCCAAAGAGAAACAATAAAGTAACCAAACAGTGACCATACAAATCTGCAATATATCTGCGACCCAAATTGCCCTAAATTGCTGACCTGCTTGCCATGTAATCTACCACAGAAGCGCTTTCATGTCCCCTCTCGTCTCACCTTCTCTACTATGCTGCATTTGCTTGTTCGCAGACTACAACAACCATCAGAAGTGGGCAAGCTAATTCCTTCCTGGATAAGCCCAGAAAGGAAAATGCAAGAAAAGAAGGTAAAAATGTGTGTGATATTTGGCCAGGTCACCGCAAATCACTGCGCAAACCACTGGTCCAAGGCCATTCTGCAACTTGCCTAGGAAGCAATGCAAATCAGTGGTTGCACACGAGATGCACAGCAGAGTGCGACGATTGTGGACGTCTGGGACTTCCTGGTGCAGTAAACTGGGGAGCCCCAATTTAACCAAAGGTCTGGCAGATTCCACTGAATCAAAGTGAAAGTCAGCCAAAAATTGCTGCGTCGTCCTTGCCAAATCAGGGAACAAGAAATCACAACGACATATGGGAATGGCCTTCCCCCATGTCTCTACTTTCAGGTTGTTGAGGTGCCTAGTTTGATCACAGCCCCATGCAATGGGTGCATACAAAAAATGACACCGTATTTGCGTTATAGTATCATCATTCTACGCGAAACTACTCAAACCCCAAAAAAAAACACGAAAAAACCTCAAACATGCAGCATTCTGAAGCATTCTTCAGCATTCTAAAGCATTCTAAAACACGATTCAAGCGCTCAACCCTCACTCCTTCGGAGTCGAGGCCGGTCAAGAAGGATCTCCTTTCCTCATAAGCTTGACAGCTCTTTAGTGTCAAATCTCACTTTCATATGAAATGCCACTGATTCACGTTGGCACTGGGCGAGGGACTGCGGCATTTATGGGTAGGGCATCCAGTCAGAGTTTCTCGCTTCACAAATCTCCTCTGGTAAAGCTTAGCTTTAACTTCCCTCTGTCTGTAGCCCCTTTTGGACAGGAAAGACACAACTAGTCCCCAACTGAATGACTGGTTCGCTTTTGGGATTATGGGCGGCGACAGCTTTTCCATCACGTCAGCTAATGTGTTTCCCATTGCCCTGGATACCCTCCCGACCACAAACAACATCACTGCACAGTTTTTTTGTCCACATCATGCAGTCATGTGTCTTGCGACGTAGAATCGATGCACATCCCATCTCCTTGGGGATGACTGGAAGCTGTGATGCTTTCATGTTCAGCTCATCTCACCTCCTCTCACCTCCTCTCACCTCTACCAAAAGGTGTCCAAGTTCTGTAGCCAGCCAGGGCCAAGCAGTTTATGGACTGTGGCAAGAGAGGACAAGCCTTAGACATCCATGGACAAGGAGCACCCCAGCGAATCCAAGTGAATCCAAGTATCTCTTTCAATTCCAGAGCAACCAGTTTGCGAGAGAGTGCACGTTCTGTTATCTCAATGATCCTGCTCCAGCAGTCTTGTTAAACAGGAGAATGAAGGACAGTGAGACATGAAGGTTAGTGTAGATCTGTTCTCCACCATCATCACTTTGGCCTGATTCTAGATGCCAAATGTCAATCAATAAAAACAAATAACACCAAATGACTAATACTCACTGGCAGCGCTTGCTAGCCCGGATATCCGAGCCCGTTCCATCCAAGTAAGAAACAAGGAAAGAATAAACACCGCGCCCCACGCAGCTGCATGTGCAACATTAAACCACAGCCCGCACTATGACAAGACCCAATGTGACGTTTCGTTTCTGATGTCGTCACTACCCTCCATGATTAGCAAGTAATGAAGTCTTCATGTTGTGCATGGTGGTTGGCTTCCTTTTAGATGCACACACACACACACTAGACAAGAATGGATCTTTGAATAGATCCGTCAGGAACTGAGTCCTGTAACATGCAAATTAATCAGGAAAACAAAAAAAACCCTAGATGAATAAAATGCAGGTACAGGAATGTGCGTCCACATTCCCTTCCGGCTGAATCCCATAGCTTCGTTGGCATGGCTAGGGAAACAGCTGCCATGCCCCCTGCTTTGTTAGAAAGGGAGAAGAAGAAAGAAAGAAAAAAGGAAAAGTTTTACATCTATTTAGATGTTACACACACACCCGGCCGGAGCCGGGCCAACCCTGAAAGGCAAGAGGAAGAAAAAAGCGGACACAGACGACGGGCAAAAGGCCAAAACAGCGCACGGGGGGAAGGGAACGAACGGACCTCCAGAACCAACCTACACGGCGAAACGACCTGACCAAAACAGAGCACACACCTAAATCCCACAACGCATTACGGAGAGGCACGGGGGGAAAAAAGGAATTAGGGACCAAATGGGGGACTAGTTGGTGACGAGTGTGAAAAACCAAAACAATTAACCTAAACAAGGACTCGGCTCCACTAAACCTAAAGGTCGAGCGTTGTTCCCTTACCGGGACGGTAGTCAGGTCAGCCCCAGGGGCATAAAACGGCTATGCGAGTTCCAACGAATTAAGTGCACAATATGTTTAACCTCACCAAAGAACCATCAAAAAAGAAAAAAGACCACACCTGGAAGGCATGAACCTGCCTTGCTGTTGCGACAATGTTTTCAAAAGCTGGAGCTGCAGCGGTAAAAACGAGGTTTCTGGTTGTTCAGTTCAGCTTCACTCTGAAAAGAATGCATTCCCAGGTTCACGAAGGACAGCCGGAGCGGCAGGACATCTCGAAAAAATTGCAAAGCAGAAAGGCCAACTGTTTCGCATTACTTAAACGAATTACCAGTTAAAATGTGTAAATTCGGAAGTCAAGTCTGTCCTCAGTCACCCAAAAAAGGGTTGCCTCAATTGGCTCCATGGCACCATGTCGGAGCCACCATGGATATTACACTAGACAAGAATGGATCTTTGAATAGATCCGTCAGGAACTGAGTCCTGTAACATGCAAATTAATCAGGAAAACAAAAAAACCCTAGATGAATAAAAT